ATATATATATATATATATATATATATATATATATATATTTATTATGTTGATGACAGCAATCCTTCTTTCATGAATCTTCATTAAATATGCCAGACAGCGGCCTCTGATTAAGATTTTATATAATGTTTATTTTTTCCGAGCGCTTTCGACTATATAATTAGCCATCTTCAAGTATGAAATATATTAACTCTAAATTGGAAATGGATGTTGTATGTATGTATTTAATATTAAAGAATGTTTTATTTTCAAAACAGTCAACATATTGTGTTCATGTTCATAGTTGATATTACTGGGTGTTTTTCTTTGTTTTTTTTTTTTTATTAATTAAAGCTTCCATTATTTTTACCTTTTTTTTTTTGCATGTAGATGATGCTATTATATTAGTGTTGTCAACAATATGTTACGAATAATGTCCGGTAGGTCCCCATGAATATTTAAATGAGATCTAATTGAGCTATGGTCAGGAAAGGTGTAGAGTCAGTCTTCGTGTCAAACATGTAGTATGGCCTATATAATTATTTTCGAATTTTATTATATATATATATATATATATATATGTGTGTGTGTGTGTGTATATATATATATATATATATATATATATATATATATATATATATCTGACGATCATAAAAGCGTGAAACCCTAGGGTCACTAAATTAAATTATATAGAAAAAATAATCGGTAATAATAGGTAAATAATCAATTTCTTTAGTATTTTGGTTATTACTTTTAATTAAAATTTTCAAACACACTCTGTTGTATATTAATGTATTTTTTTGTTTTATTATTTCAGTTAGGTTCCTCGTCTAGTTTCAGCCAGTATGGCCATCATCAGGAGAAATGTGTGTGTGTGTGATTAATATAGGCATATTATGTCTATTTATTTTTATGCTGATCCTTTCCAGTTCCTTGATGTTAAAATGAAATTCATCAAAGAAAGTGCCGTAGTTTTTTCTAACCCAAGTACTTTCGATCTTTTCCGAGGTCATCTTCAAGGCTAAAATACGAAGACAAAGTTATTGTAACTGTGATAAAATCTGCATTCCGTTGTGATGGTGATTTTCAAACATAGCTGGCCACTTGAACTCTGTTTAATGTTTAGCAAGTTTGTCTCGCTAAAGTAATTACGACCGTCGTGAGTTCGATTCTCATTGTGTGCCTCTACTTTTAGTTTTGGGCTACCTTTAAGCAACGCGTAGTAAATAGTTATGCATGTATGTATATTAATTTCGTACATGCCAGTTGGTTGTTTTTGATTTTGTCGACTGTACAGTAGTGTCAGTTGGGCACCGGCTCTGAGAAAAAGAGCAACGTGACGCAATTCACTCCGCCCGAAATTTGTAAACGGTATGCTTTACTCCTTGGAATTCCCACCGGAAGCCCCAATACAAACATTTCAGAGTGTTTGGGTGTCAATCTAAGGACAGTGCAGAAGATTCGGAAAGAGCTGGATGAGTCTAATGGTGATTACGAAGGCACAGCAGCTCAGAAAACTCGTTTTGATCGTTCTGATAAGAAAAGAACACCCGAATTTGTTAGTGAGGACCTCAGGCTCAACACGGAGGCCTACATCAAGTGTCTTGGGGAGGTAGTGCTGATCTGGGTCAAGAGGACTCTGCACCATGCCATATAAGCGGGGAAACACAGCCATGGCTGTCAGACAATGTCTGCGACCACATCACCCCTTACATCTGGTCATCTGGTCCGTCTGGAGGACATGGTTGAAGCCAATGGCGATTTTATTGAATAAATTTACTCTTTAATATTTCAATATATTCTTGCGTAATCGTAATTAATGTATCTGTTAAAATGAGATGTCAGTGTTATTTTCATATCTGCTTCATTTAGACGACAATTTATCCATCGCACCCTGTATATATATATATATATATATATATATATATATATATATATATAAGAGAGAGAGATCAGATAGATATATAGATAGATAGATAGATAGATAGATATAATGTTATATGCATCTCGGCATTCAATTTTTCCTTTATTTTCATTGTTTCTACATTTCGGGCCATTTTTAGTTTTCAATAAATTGTCCATTGAAAAACTGCAATTATCAATAAATTTTCAAATTATCAAAATAGATTTTTTTCATCTTTTTTATTGTTTTTTTTCCTTTTTTGAAATATCGCTTCTTCACGCGTCATCGTGTTTTTTTTTTCCTTTTTAAGTATCATATCTTCACGGATTAATCGTGTTATATTTTTGTTTTAATAAAATTTTAAAATATTTAATATGATTGTTCCTAAATTTCATATTTTATTGATGTTTGATTGTTCGTTTTTATGTTTAATGCTTCTGGTATTTGTAATCGTTGTTTTTCCAAAACAATTTTCGGTTATCACCCATTTGTAAAGCAGAGAATATAATTTTTTTGTGTTATTGGCAAGGATTATTGGATTTGATTGTTGGCGTTGCTGATAGGCGATTCAATTGAAATATTATTGGATAAATGGTAAGTTAATTAGTTTAAAAATAAGACGATGTCAAACAGGTACAGGAAAGCATTGAAATTGACTCAGGATTTTAGATTATTATACTAAAAACGAATGGGAAAATATAGTCGTACTTACCTTTGTTCAAAGTGAAACGTCTATTGACCAAAGCCACGTCCTTTCGTGTGTGTACAGATGAAATTTTGGGATTGAAAAGCGGGCGGAGGATTTTACAGGAAACCGAAATTATTTATTTTGATTTATTTTTGTCAATTTTCTTTCATGACCGTTCACAGCATTTTGGGCTGATTAAAACGTAAGACGTCAGGGAACGTTTACACCGCGCCACCAAAATTTGGGAAGTTGGTCGGTTAATATAGATGAAACGATAATGATTTGTTAATGGATTTTTTTTTTTACCGAAGTCAATTAACCTATTAGATACAGTTCATTTTTTTCTAACCGCAACTCAAAAAGCCCTTCATCTTGCTTTGTATTCGAGTATAAAAGGGAATGATTTCTATACAGATTAAACGACACTTACTGAATGAAGTGGATAAGACAGACCCCAAATAAAGGACTCTTTCGTTCGGTAACTTTCATTTGCCCACTTCCGTTTTAGTTTTGTTGGGTGCTTAGAAATAAGGGGAAAAATGTCAGTTAACATTCTTAGTCTGAAAACTTTAATCCCAAAAGGCCATGTTCATGATTCTCCACAACATCCTATCCTTTCTAACTCTAATGAAATGAATATTTATATTAGGTTTAGTATATATACGGAGACCTGGCACCCACAAACAGCTTATCATCAATAGGATTTTTGAGAGGACAGACGTTATAAGCTGAATTTAAACATTACTAGGCACTTTGACGTGATTTAATAGTTAGCAAGGTTGTCTCACTAAAGAAAAACCAAAATTAGTTCGATTAACTCCCTTACTTTTGTCCTTCTGCCATCTTTAAGCAACAGATATTGATCAAAAAAATCTTCTATAAATCGATATTCTGATAATATCATGGCGTAGCTAAGGGGGCTCTTTGGGCGGGCGAAATTCCATGCCAGTCAATTTCATAGGGTTTTCTCATGTTACCCCAAAAAATTTTCAACCAGTTTTTCCCCCCCCATCAGAAATTTCTAATAAATTTTAAAATCAGGAAATTTGTGAATAGGAAAAATAGCAATGTTTTCAGCTTTTAATTTTGAACTGATTATTTTGTGGTATTGGATTTTGTCTTGGATCATACATGTAAACAGTAACGTACCGGTCAGTAGAGTAAACTAACGGTATTTCTTTGTATGAAAATTTTAGATTTTTAACCATTCAGCATAGTCTTTGAATCAGGGTCATTGGGGTTTCATTTGAGTTCAACCAAAATTCCCTGATTGTTTTACTCTAGCTAAAACACTGCTCTGATTTATATTTATATATATATATATATATATATATATATATATATATATATATATAACATGTTTGTGTGTGTGTGTGTGTGTGTGTGTCTGTAAGTTTGTGTTTCCTTTCAAATTGAAAAAAAATAATTTCAAATCATCTTTTTTCAAATAAAAAATTTAAGTCCCGTGAAATGTTTACTGCTGATAATAAATTCTTCTTCTATGAATCTGTTTATAGAAGAAACTCTGAGTTTACTTTATCGCCTTTTTTCTTCAAAAAAAATATATAAACATTCACCCTCCTCTCTACCGAGAGAATCATTTTTTTTAGTTTAATCAGAAATGTATTTTTAACTGATCAGCTGTGATAAAAATTTATCTGTCTGGGATGACTATATATATATATATATATATATATATATATATATATATATATAATAAATATATATATATATGTGTATTTTTTATGGTATATATTATACTTTTAAATTTTTTATATTTTTTTTAACATATATTTCCAGGCTTATACGAAATTCACCAAATAATAAATGGTTATTTCCACATATTATTTAAAGGAACTATTTTTCCTGATGTTTTTGACGTTTAACCGCTGTCTTTTGTGTGTAGTATTAATTAAGCGGGAATATAAACTAAGTTACGAAATATATAAGCAACTGTATACGCGAGTGATAGCGTGGCATACACAGATAAACAAATAAATATTTAATTTCATTTATGGTAGAAACAAAACAGTGTAGTTAAACAGAGCTATGAAATATATATTAATAAATACACATATACCTACGTTTGTTTCTGTACTTAAAGTTTTCATTCTGTTCCAAGTCGTCAGGTAAAAAAATTAAATAAACCACTTAATATAGTTGTTTTTTTTTAAAAAACTGGGTCACATTCAGAGGAACACTAAATTTTTTCAATTTCATGCAAAAGATCAAAAAGTTAATATAAGGAAATATACTACTCAGAATTTCAAATTCAAAATATAGAAAGTTAATAAAGATATTGGAAAAACAAAGGAAAAATTAAATGAATGTGGCATGTTTAAAGTTTATATGGTACAAGTTTTTTCTGATGGTAATAAAAGATTTAAGAAAAAAAAATATAAACCCTAAAGAGAGAAAGTAATATGAATAAAAATGTATATCTATATATGTAAATATTTACAGCATCCACAACGCAGAAATGAAAGAACAAATATAATTCAACAATATCGAAACATCGCATTCTTTCTTTCTTTCTCTTTATGTCTACAACGTTTCTTTCTTTATTTCTCGTTATGTCTACAACGTTTCTTTCTTTTTTCTTTCTCGTTATGTATAGTGCCTTTCTTTATCTAATTTTCTTTTTTTATTTATTTCTCGTTATGTCTTTTTTTCTTTTTTTTCTATATTTAAGTATATAAAAATGTTTCTTGTTAAGAGTTGGCTTTTTCTTTTTTATTATTAGAGCTTCCATTATTTTTAACAATATTAACTATGAACAAAGCCACAATGTGCTAACCGTATTCGGAAACTAAAAACATCACTACCACACACTGAACATATACAAAGACATTTAACTATCTACTAAGCTGATAATTGAATCATCCTTGATAATGGCTAAAGGTATAGCCAAAAGCGCTCGGAAATACAGAACATTCGGACAGTTCTTACACACTCTTTGTCCAGAAAAGAAAGAACTCTTGTCAGAACACAAGAAAAATTAAATAAAAATTTCAACCGTAAATACCTTGTCTGTCGTTTTTATGAAACATGCATATATATATATATATATATATATATATATATATATATATATATATATATATATATATATATAATACTAATAATCTTATAAATATAAGCATATACTCGTCCGTTTAAAATTAGGTGTTTTAGCTTCTAAATGAACAAACCAATACCTAAATTGAAAAAAATTTTAAAAAAAATTTAAAATACATGGAAATCCGTTGAAAATAATCGTCAGAATTCAAGTTCAGAGTTCAAAGAAAAAAAATGACGACATAGTAAAAGTAAAAATAACTAAAGAAAAGTGCTAAATTTTAGCAAACTAATATAAATAAATCTAAAGAGCCAGACTAACCTACCTAAGGTTTCACCTACGCGATTCGCCAGGATTAAACACCCGTGTGTATATATATATATATATATATATATATATATATATATATATATATATATATATACCGGATGTAACAACAAAATTGTCCATATCAATTTAACCGCCAAATTGTTACATTAAGCTTTTTAATGTTTTATCTTTTTAATTTGTCAGTTAAATCCTCCTTAGTTCGCTAATTGTCACTATTTTTTAATCTCTCTCCTTACTATAAATACTGAAATGGTCTCCTCGCCTCGTTCTCTTTTTCATTTCTTCATTTCAACGACTACAATTAAAAATCTCTTAGAATATCCGCGTTTTTCCCAATTTTGTGGGAGACGTGAACGATATACACACATAATACATATAAACGAACATTCATTTTTTCACACTAATGTTCACACACACACAAATGTTATTGCCTATGTCCTTTGTAAAATATATATATATATATATATATATATATATATATATATATATATATATATATATATATATATATTCATGAATTATTCACACAAAAACAAATGCAAAGGTTAATGATTTAATTGGCGAGAAATCCATCGTCGCAAACAATTCAAATAATATACAAAAACCTCCGAATCCGTTATGAATGAAAAGATCCTTGTTTCTATAAATTTCTGCCGTATTAGTTCTTATTTTTACTACAAGCTTTCGTCTGTTCCTACAGACATCTTCAGGTATAGAATAGATGTTGTTCTTGTTTTTTCTCTTAGTAATAAGAGGACAACGAAAATATATGTATTGTTGTATCCGAAAATGCTATTGAAAATGAGTTATTGTTTTTGGATGCATAAAATTTTTTCGGATTTTAAATAAAAAAATTCGTTCATCATCATATTTGTATATAAACGAATTTTTTACATTAAAAATTTTTTAAGTCAAACTCAGCGTTGCTACAGACGCTCAAAAAAAAATAACTCATTTCCAAATTTAATTAACAAGGATCATTTCATTCATAACGGATTCGGAGGTTTTTGTATATTATTTGAATTGTTTGCGACGATGGATTTCTCGCCAATTAAATCAAATAACCTTTGCATTTGTTTTTTTTAATAATTCATGAATTTCATGTAAATTGATTGCACGTTTATCGTAATTTAAATAAATTTCATCCAAAGTATACTTTTGGATAATAATTTATTATTACTGTAATTATTGAACAATATAGTTCATGCCACTTTGACAGAAAATTTACCAGTAAAAAATTCGTTCATCACCATATTTGTATATGAACGCACAACTTTTAAAAATTTAAAATCAAACTCAGCGTTGCTACTGCGCCAGAGTATGAACGTTGGTACGATTACTGTAGGTCTGAGTGATCTTTTTCCTCACACCATTGCTCAGTTGGGACGACATAGTGAGGCTGACACAAAATGACTTTAACCTGTTTTCTTTTTAGATGAATAGTTCAAAGGGTTTTTCAGTGATTCTTACGACAAATAATGACAAGATGGCTAATCGTCTTATCTAAAATCCGGGGAAAAAGAAACTAAATTTGTTTTTGTCTTCTTTTAGATATCAAACATTTTGTAGGATGGTCAATTATTCGATGATGTTACACGATTTGGACAATTTTGCTGTTTTTTTGAGAATAATATTTATATATATATATATATATATATATATATATATATATATTTATTCTATCATATATATATATATATATAATTTGGGGATATATATATATATATATATAAATTAAACAAATGGAATAAAATATGATTTAACATTTAATTTAAAAATGGGCTCAATATGTAAGAGCTCATGATTATAATTGTGTAGTCATTTTAATATTTTAAATATCCTAAAATAAATTATATATATATATATATATATATATATATATATATATATATATATATATATTATTGCATGTTTCATTAAATAATGTAAACAATGTTTTTTTTAAAGACTATTTTTTGGGTCTTCCCTCTGTCCTTTTCATATCGTCTGATCAATTTAATAACATTATCATTGAAAGACAAAAGAAAATTACCATGTTGATATATATATATATATATATATATATATATATATATATATATATATATATAGTACACAATAAATTCAAAAAATCATCTCATATGAATATGCTTATTTCAACCGACCAAATTCGTCAGTCTTATTCAACCCCATTATAATATATATATATATATATATATATATATTGTGATAACGGATACAAACTTTTGGAAAATTATTTTTAGCAACACTAAAATTGAATATTTTTGAAAAATTTATATATATATATATATATATATATATATATATATATATATATATATATAAATATATAACACACACACACACACATATATATATATATATATATATATATATATATATATATATATATATATGTGTAACTGAGTTATCAAAAACAACTGTAGAAATCCATGTTGGTTTATTACCGTTTGTTACATGGAAACATAAATAAAAAAAAAAATAGGGAGGAGAATTTTAGCTGTGAATGACTGTTTTCAGCACAATATTTTATCCTGCTGCTACTGTCTTGATGTAGGAAATCTTTTTGCTTCTTTTTCCGCCCGACGACTGAGTCCAAACTCCTGGGGAAATATTCTGCCTCACAACAGGAATATTTATATCCGGAATTCTGAGGCATTAATATTCTTTTGAACGCCCGTATTCGTCAGTATTATTTTTATCTCAACGTATCGACCGGCTTGTTCGCCGGCCTTCTTTAGTTACATCATTCACCTTCCAAGAACCACTCATCTAAACCCTTTACTTCGTCCGGTGAGGTACATTTTTCTCATCTCCGCTTTCTGTCTCACCTCGAGTGTCATAGCGAGAATTACAAAAAAAAAAAAAAAAAAAAAAAATTGTTAAACTTTGTGTTTCCTTGTATGATATCTGAGGCAAAACGTTGTCCTTGTCACCACGAGTCACTTGTGACATTTTTTCTTCTTTAGTTAATGTCATGCACAAATAAAACACAGTTAACTAGCCCCTGACCAGGGGCCATTTGGAATACTTAAAGTGCGCTAAATGTACCCGGTGGCCTGTGCTAATTAACAGGCTCCCAGTGGTTTTCATTGACTTTCGCCGAAAAGTAAATAAATAAGAGATGGGATATAAATGCGTTGTTTGATAGACATACCTGAATATGTAAATTCATAAAAACAACAATGAGAATTTTTGACAACTATTTCCATCTTTGTGCAGATTTTCTCTGATAAATGTTAATCGCAGATATCGAATAAAAATAGAATTAATATTTCAGCACAAGATTCACTTAATGACCACTGGTCTGGTGCTTCTAAAATACAACGAAAAATCTGCAATTTTCTCGCCAGAATTTATCGTAGACATTCATAAGTCTATCTTTATTATTTTTACAAGGATTTCATCCAAAGCAAGGAAACAAAGCCACAAGACAAAAAGGTCACCAATGTAGGACTTTCGTAAAAGTGAAAATATCTTTTGATTTCTTCGGTCAGCGAAAACAAGCACTAGTGCGGGACTTTCGTAAAAGTGAAAATACCTTTTGATTTATTCGCTTAGCGAAAAAAGTTACTCGTACAGGAATTTAGTAAAAGTGAAAATATCTTTCGATTTCTTCGGTTTGCTAAAACAAGAACTAGTGTGAGACTTTCGTAAAAGTGAAAATACCTTTCGATTTTTTCGGTTAGCAAAAACAGGTAAGTGCGGGTCTTTCGTAAAAGCGAAAATAATACTCTATTTATAGATATAGATAATATTATTGCAATAATTTAAACTATTTATTTTTATTAAAGTTTTTATGAAAGATATATATCCAAGAACAGATAGTAAATAGTAAAACGTTGCCTAGAGTTATAAAAGACAGGAAGTAGTGGAGAGCCATTGTCGCCAACAATTTGGATTCAAAACAGTTAATACCTGCTAATAAGTGAAAGAAATTCGGAAAATATTGGATGAAAACAATGCACTAACCGAAGGAAAAAAATCGGATTTTCTAACACACACAAATTATCCAAATATTTAGATACTGTTTTTCGCTGACCGAAGAAATCGAAAAATATTTTCACTTTTATTAAAGTCCCACAATTTTGCTCTTTTTTCGTTAACCGAAGAAATCGATATGTATTTTCACTTTTACGAAAGTCCCGAATTATCTAAATTTGGTTTTCGCTAAAATTGAAAAATCAAAATATATTTCATTGTTTTTCTTTCAATATAATATT